GAGAAAGTTGGGTATGGGTATGATAAAAAGAAAAAGCCAACGCACTCGAGAACAGAAAAATGCGAGCACGACAGCCTTCGGAACGGGCATTGTGCAAAGAGTTAGAAATGAATTAAAAAATAAAATACACGGCAGCAAAAAAATCAATGAAGAATATATCAAAAAATTGGCATCTTCAGCTCTAAGTATCGCTAAAAATTCTGTTAAAAAGAACGGAGGCAAAAGAAAAATACGCACTCCGCGAATAATACCAGTCCCAAAGGTTGGCGGTTTATTACCATTGATCTCAATTTTCGCAGGTTTATCCGCACTAGGATCTATAGCCGCTGGTGCTTCAGGTATAGCAAAAGCTGTAAGTACCGCTAAGAACGCTCAAGAAGCTTTAACAGAAGCACAGCGACATAACAAAATGATGGAAGCTATTTCTATAGGGAAAAAAGGGGGCGGCTTATATTTGAAGCCTTTTCGCAAAGGATTGGGTCTTTATTTAACCAAGTCAAAAAACTTTTAAGAGAGGTACCCTCCACGCCCCTCACGGATTTCCAACTAAAAAGATTTGCACGTAAATTTGATATTCCGCATTTTAGAGGAGTATATATGCGTGATGGTTTACCAAAAAACGGACCTCGCAAAAATGAATGCGCAATAGTAAACTTGGACGAATCTAGAGGGGCGGTGACACATTGGGTAGCCTATAAAAAGCAAGAAAGAATAACATCTTACTTTGACAGTTTTGGAAACTTATCCCCTCCATCAGAATTAATCGAGTATTTCCACGCAGGCGTACACAGAAGTTCTCAAATTCTATATAACTACGAGCGCCAGCAAGATTTTGATACAATCTGGTGTGGCCACCTGTGTCTAAATTTTTTACTGACTAAGTAGTTCTGAAAATTAATATGAATCGCGAAAGTATTAAACAAATGAGTCAATCTTTGAAGATTTTTTCCAAGCGAGGCGGATTACTCGAAATGACAACGGAAGAAATGGAGAAGCTACCTAAAGAAGTAATCATAGCCCTAGCACAAAATGAAATTGCTTATGTATGGGATAAGCTTCCTGAAAAGCTAAAAAAAGAAAGAGATATTCAACAATACATGTTTTGCACCCAGCATCATGTTCGCGAGATTGGAGATGTACCCGATGGACCACCACCAAGGCGTATTTTTTGTTGTTATTGCAAGACAGAGGATATCAATACGTTCACTCGGAATACTCCGGATTCTTCTATGCCGCCAGGAAGCGGACGGTGCACGCCCCTGTGATATTATTAATCTAGTTTAAGATTGGTCATAGTATTTTTATTTTTCAATAAAAAATATAAAGTACGTTGAAGTTGTTTCAGTCATGTCTTGTACGTTCACGCTGTCAGACTCGTCTAGTGTCCTTTATCCTGATTTTTTCCTCCAATTGAGCTCGATAAAAATATCAGTTATGGTTTAGGTTTATTAGGTTTTTATTCTTATAATTCAATTTTTAACATAGATTGTAATAATAACGTATTTGCATATAGAGAAAAAAGAGAAGGTAAATCGAAAACGATAAAGCTTTCACCTGGGGTGTACGAGATCGAGGAAATTAATAGAGTAATTTTGTCTTACCTAAAAAAGGAAAAAAATAGTGGACATGAGGGTGATTCGGTAATATTTTCCTTAAAACCAAATAATAATACTCTTAAATGCGAGATTGATTCTCAATATTTCGTTGATTTTACTGTTGATAACTCACTTCGACACATTTTGGGTTTCGAGGCCGTGATTTTAGACAGACACAAGCGCCATGAATCTTCGCTCCCTGTGAATATAATGAAAGTACGAATGATTCGGGTTGAATGTAACATTATTTCGGGGGCTTACATCAATGAAAAAATCTCTCATGTTCTTTTCGAATTCGATATAGATGTCGAGCCCGGATATAAATTAACGAAAGAACCTCGAAATATAATATATTTACCTGTAATCCCACACGGGCGCCAGTATATTGACAACATTACTCTAAGAATTGTCGATGATTAGGGAGAACTCATTAATTTTCAGGGTGAAAAAATTATAGTTAAATTAGAATTAAAGAAACTTTTTTAATATAAACAAAAAAAAATCAATGGGTTTCTGTTTTAATCGCGAGTCTTTTTACCTAAAAAGTCCAAATAATTTCTTTAAATATCGGAGCTTGAAAGGACCAGGTGCCATTCAACACTCGAACGCAAACAAGTCAAGAACGAGTTTAGACTTGTTGCGTAAGCCTAATCGGAAAAAATTGCATAAGTTAGATTTGGAATTCCTAAAATCCATTGGGTTACGAATTGAGTACGAAATAGTTAAGATGGCTTTGGGACAAAAGCTGGATATTTTTGAAGAGCCTATATTTGATAACTCTTATGTCAGTCTACACGAGCACACATATAAACCTTACGGATCTCCTAATTATAGAAATTCTGATGAAATTAGAATTCCTGTAAATTTTCAAAGTTATATTTACATCGAAGGTGAATTTCAACCGGAGGATCGTTCAAAATTCTGCTACCTTTCGTATAATGCATTGGCGTTCTTGTTCGATGAAATACGTTATGAAATGGGTGGGGAGCAAGTGGCTAACGTTAGAAAACCCGGGATCGCGACCGCCCTTAAGTTTATTGGTTCTTTTGGAAAAACACAAGCTTCCCGACTAAGCGTGGTCGGTTGGGGTCTCAGTGACACTAAACAAGAGATTTTGGATAAAGCTAGTAATATTTTCTCTGGGAAACTTCCTCTAAAATTTTTAATGGGGTTTGCAGAAGATTATACTAGAGGAATAATCAATGTTAAACAAGAGCTAATTCTAACTATCGCGAGAACCTTCAAAAATTCTTACATAGGTGAGACATCTGCTAAAATAAAAATAGACAAGATAGAATGGAAAATTCGTCATATAGTACCAGAAGATAAATTGAAGATTAAACTTCTTTCAAAACTTTCACGGGGAGCCCACGGAGCGTCCATTAAAATTCCGTTTCGTATGTGGGATTTATATGAATTGCCATCACTTCGTGAGACATTTTCAGATATTTGGGTCATCAAAACATGTACCTCGCTGGAGAGACCGCGTCAGATAATAATTGCTTTTCAAGAAATCGGGAATTCCGATGTGTTCCAAAAAGACTCTAGTGCTTTTATTCATGCTAATATTCGTGATATTAGGTTATATTTAAATTCCGAAGTGTACCCCTATGAAAAATGGAATTTAGATTTTAGTAAGTCAATTTTCGCTCCAGCATATTATTCGTACGAAAATTTTCAGAAGAGCTACTATGGACGAGAAAACTACGATGTCATGTTGAACCTTCCTGATTTCATAGCAAAGCCCATATTTGTGACCGATTGTTCCCACCACGCGGAAGCCATAAAGTCTTCAACGGTGGATATTAAATTGGAGTTTGAAGCTAAAACAAATTTTCCAAAAGGCGTACGGGTGTACGCGCTAATTCTTCACGATGCCTTTTTATCGTATAATCCCATGGATGGCTCGGTTAAAAAAAGAGCTGTATATGCTTAATAATAAATAATTACTCCTTACCTCTCGTGTTTTATTTCCCCTGTCCTTTGTGTGCAATAGTAAAAGTACAGTTTGTACCCGCGAGGGTAACATTCGAGGAACTATATGTTTTTAAAATAAATGTTTTGGTCAATATTCACTAGGTGGGTTACCTTATTAAAGAAAATCTTACTCCAAGAGGGGACACTAGTTTACATTCGAACCGCTAGAGGGTGCAGATGGTCACGCGAACAATATGATCAAGTCTCATTGACGCCATTGCTTTTCTTACGGGTGGGAAAATATCTGGGCTCTGATTGGCTTCGCCGCCATCGCAAACTAGAGGAGGGGGATTGATTAAACCCCACATTTCTGGTTGCTTATCCAATGGGGGCCAGTTTCAAGGGATTATGGGTAAAGGGGGAGGAGCTAGAGAGTCGTGGGGAAGGAGGACAGGCCCACAAAAAGGGAGAGGAGTGGGGGTGGCCTATAGTGTACCTTTATACTACTAGCGGCACTTCGCAAAAACTCATGGTATTTCACGTTCTCGATTCTATGTAGATAAAAATAAAGAATCGTCCACTCTTTCGTATTTACCACTTTTCATACTTTTTTGTGTCGAGGTCGGCGATGATAAAACACTACATCATTTTTCAAGTTTATTGAACAGGAATTTACTATGGACTACTTAAAAAAGCGGTCGAAAAAACAAAGAAAATTTAAAAATATATGTCAAAAAATTGATGCTGTATACCACTTATGGAAACCTCATTTATTTTTGCATAGGTTGTACAATCAAATCGATTATCCCGGTCTGTTTATGGTACTACGCTTAAGAATGAGAGAAAAACATTTACTTTATTGCAACAGAGCTCGAACAAATCGTACTCTTAATTTTTAGTTATGTATAACGTTTGTAATATTTAATCATTTATGAAGTCGAAGGCCAAGGAATTTCAACACCAACTTTATGATCATTTTATTTTCATTTTTTCTCCCTTTGTTTGGTTTGCTATTTTGTTTTTTTTTTGTTTATCTTTTATTTCTTCCTTTCTAGAACTATTTTTGTTTTCCTTTTTCGCACTATTGTTATATTTATGTATTTGTTTCATGTTGCCGTGTTAATGGACAAATATATGCCGCTCAATTTAGCACGATTAACAAAATTTACGGAAAAAAAGCACCCTCCCCGCCCCACGCCCCTTTCATTTTGTCCACCGGTTCCGCGTTTATTTGCACTAATTAGTTTGTGCATTTTTAACGACGACTAAGAGGGGATAAGTGGGTTTACGGTGCATTTTTAACGCGACAGCATTTCCAGACGGTTTTCCCTTTTTAGCCGGTATACTTCACCCTCTTTGCTCTTTTGCAAGAAACCTTTGTCGGTGCCGCTGCACACTGGACTATCATGTAAATATTAGTTAAACAAAGTCGAGAGTGCTGTGCGCACACTGGTACATTGGGCTTATTATTGTATTCGATTTTCTCAGTCTGTCGTCGATGTTGGGCGAATCGAAAGTTGAAAACGTGGGACGAAGCCTCCAGGACAATTTTTTTACCGGTGCGAAAGAAAAATAAAATAAGTAAGTATTTCTCGCGCTACATGTTGTCGATCGGATTGCCTTCGGGAATCAAACTCTCTCTCCTTCTGCCCAATTGCAAATAATCGCCTGGAGGCCACTTCAATGATGCGGCGGGGACCGGGTTGCGATCATTAGTTCGACATTGACATGAAGAATACGATTTCGATTGCGATATCGCATGGCCGCCAATTGAAAAGAACCGGACCGACGCCAAGGGTCAGCGTTCGGGATATATACCTAACCGGATCTCCTGGAGTGGTTTTTGTTTGCGTGTTCATCGTGAAGCGCGGTATTTCTTTTATAGTTTTCCCGCAACGGCCCAACGTAATAAATAAATTTTGTTAATTGTATCGGCTAATGAGATAAAAAAAAGTTAGATATATGCCTCGCTATCTTTTTTAGTGTTTTATTTAAGGTACTAACCAAACGCATTTTTTTGGAGGCTAATGACGGTGAAAAAAAAAAAGAATATGAAAGACCTCTCATCTATCCCCAGAGAGATTATTTAAGGCGATCGAATGTCGACGCCGTTTGGTATTTCGTTTTAATTAACGCCGAAGGGGGTGGGCGGGGGATGGGCCTTGTTAACGTGACAGTTTAAGTGACGACGGGCGGCGACGGCGGCGGCTAAAAAATCGCGCGTCTTATCTGCGGAAATTTGATATCGCGTAATTTTACACTTTTGCCGACGCGACAAAAGGGAAGCGACGTTAATTGCGTTTTTCGTTGAGGTGGTTGCGATAGGGCCGGAGGGTGGGAAGCGAAATGAGCTGCGAATCGGCAAATAATGACGTAGCCTTTTCAATAAAATTCACACACTTCGCGGATTCGTTTTAACAAAGTTCAGTAGATACGTAAAGAACTAACCAAAACTAACCATATACTTCTAGCTGTCATAACTTGGGGAAGGCATTCATCGCCAAATTGGCACGCGTACTGTCGTCGACTATATGCATTTTTCTCGAAATAAATTGATGTATGCATTTTTTTTTTGTATAGAACGCGTTAATAAAACGCGGGGGGTCGGTTTTGAATTAATGCCCGCCCCTGCGAACGGGATCGATTAAAACGAGAGCGTTAAAACTAAACCGACGCCCGACGTCCAAACGGCAAATCGAATTTCGACAGATTGACGCGTTGTTCATTTCGCTGCACTTATAAATAATTCACCGACACGGGTGTACCGAATTAGATGGCCGGCATAAATGGCACCTACTCCCTCACACACCCATGCGGTTTTGAACATGCCCGGCGTGGAATCCGTCATTTACTACGAAATTGCTTACTTGAGCAACGTCTCGAGGGTCTGCTGCCGCACCATGCAGCACTGGAGCAGGGGCGCCAAGATGGAGATTTCGTCGTGGAATGGCTTGCCGAACCCGCGACCATGGTCCAGATGGAGGGTGAACGTGTCGTTGCCGAATAACCTGAAAGAAAATCGTTTTTTCCTTCTTAATGCACTTAAAATGTGTGTCCCCCCATCCGTCTAAATAATTTTGTTGTGTTGTGTTTTTGTTAAATTTATAATATATCATTAATATTATTATTATATATTATTAAATTTATATTATATACGCTGCTTGCTTGATGTCGTGAATTGCGCATAGATACGCGACCTACTAGACCTACTTTAGTAAAACTGTCGTGTCGTGAAAGAATTGGCCTTTTAGCGAAAAAGCAAACATATATTGTGTGATTCGTTTGCGTTAAAGTTGCGTTACGAGATGGTAAAAAATATAAAAAATTGTAAAGTAGTTAAAGTTGCAGCGTATCCGTTGGGTCGAAGCGGGGAGAGCGTAGTATCGTCGGCTAGTCGGGACGGAAAAAGAAAACGGGGGTCCCAATTCGTTTGGCACAAAAACCCCATTAGAAAAAGTGGGCGCGCGGAGCCACCAGGATGTTTAGAAACCACTCGAGAGAAAGCTCTGAATCCAAAACTAGATTAAATCTCGTATCAAGTTCGATTGAGTAAGTCTGCGGCCACTTCGGCACTGAATAATTCAGACGCCGCTCCCAAACACACACACACACACATACACCCAAAGAGCCGCGCGCGAGTTAGCGGAGCCTCTTAAGACGAATATGCGGCTTTCCAGTTTCGGGGCTAAAATTCAAACTTAACTGTTCGGTATTCTCTATGCGAAATCCGTCACATCTGCAACTTGGACGTTTCAAAGACTGCGTTGAATCGCCCAAATATATATAGATATTTCAATAATTAAAAATATATGTGAAACAGAAATAAAGAAAAAGTTTTGCTTTATCGGATATTTTCTGCTGTTTCCATTTGAGTAGTTTTATTCTAGAATCAAGCTCATTTAAACATTCAAATGCGTTCCACCCCTTCGTCTTGATTCACCCTAAGTAGCGGAGCAAGACGGAGGCCACGTAGTGAAGAACGTCCAATGAAGTAGACTTATATCAAGGTGTCACCTCTTTGTTGCGTGGTCAAGAGCTAAGTCCTCCCCAAAAGGGCGAAAGTAAACACTACAGAGCCGGAGCTAGACGAAGGCGACATCGCCAATAGTCGAAAGCAAAAGCACCGTTTTTACACCGCGGAATAAAGCAAATTTTATAAGCATGCAATATCGACAAATCAGTTAAATTTACTCGTCACTCTGTACGCGTGACCGAGTAGGTTATTATTCGTTGGTCCCGGGGATGACGACGACGACACGTCAATACTATTTCGAAAAATATTTCATTCTGCATACCTAAAGGTCTCGTAGTGGTGTCGGTCCATGTTTCCGGTTAGAAAATCGAAAATAGACATGTCCATGAGATCGAACAGGCGCCGACCCTTGTCGTAGGGTGGGATGTCCCGGACTAGCTGGCAGTAGTTGGGGTCGGTCTCCCACTGGGCTTTCCGACGTTTATGGTACGAACGACGCCAGGGGTGCCGCCACACCTGGAATAAATTATTTATGGCTTTCCTCACAGTCACATAACAATTAATAAATTATTTCTCCTGTTGCCTTCTATAACCAATAGTAGTAACGTCACTGTAATAGCAATTTGAGCATTATAAAATTGGCCTAAGATTTAACTTAATCACATACAATTAAATTAAATTATTTAATTTAACGATAATTAATTTTTGTTAATCGGTTAATCAGTCTCAATAATTGGCAGAAAAAAATACGGACGTAACCAAAACCGAGCAAAAAAAAACCTTTCTTGTTTCAATTATTTTTTTATATACGCAATTTTTTTCATTTACATTGTAGGGCATTTTTTAATCAACCGAGAGGATTTTCGAGGGCGGCAATAAAAAATTACGTCCTTGCTTTCGAAATTAAAAAAAATGAAAAACTCAAAACGACAGACACGCCGAGGAAGGGGCAAAGGGGCTGCAAATTCAATTTTGCATTCTTTTTCTTTTATTTCAAATTTAATCGCATCTGTTCGTAACCCCGTCGCGCCGTATATTTCCTTGTCGGGGTAAAAATCAGTGTAATTGGGATACCGAGGTCCCCGGTTTTATTTGACGCGGACCGAGGTCGAGGGATGGGGGGAAACTCCGACATCGGCATCATTTAAACGAACGAGTTCGGACCGATCGGCAATTATACTTGCTAGTAAAATGTCACCAAACGACCTTATAAAATCGATCGTATCTCTTTGTATCTATGTCCCCTCCACCTTTAGTCAATCCACTAATTTACGTCATTTTCATGTTACCGATGCTCTCTGTTCTCAATACAGTTTTGATAACGTTCATAACGGCGCAATTTTTATAATCATTGGCTGTCCATCTGATTGATACAATTCCATAATAAGTTTTTTTTGCGCAATTTTCACGATAAGAGTCGTTTTTATAACAACTGCGGCTTATTCGAGTAAGTTTAGCGTCATTATCGTAGTCTTCCTCATAACCACGTTTTATTTACGTAATTTTCACGATACTATGACAATTTTTTATAACAACATCTTACTCTAGTCAGTTTGGCGTCATTATCGTAATTTTCCTCATAAACGCCTTTTATTTACGAAATTTACGCGTTACCAGCGCAGTTTTATGACAACTGCAACAACGTCTTACTGAAGTAAGTTTGGCATCTTTACCGTAGTGTCCTTTATAATTACGTTTGATTTACGTAATTTTCGCTGTACCGATACAATTTTTATATCAACTGCGTCTCACTCGAGTCGGTTTAGCATCATTATCGTCATTATCCTCATAATTACGTTTTATTTCCATGGTTTTGACGACAATACCGCAGCTTTTATAACAACTGTTATAACATTATTCGCGTCGTTACACAGTGTTGAAAATCGCGCGCCCTCGCTTCGAACAGCTCGAAACGTCGCCCGAGGGAATTTTCGCGGGGCTTAGATCGATCTAAATTTATGCACGGTCTCGTATCCGGGGCGTTTTTGATAACCCATAAAAACAGGAACGCAAACAACCCGACGAAATTGAGACGGCGACGACGTCGGCGACAACGAAAACGGCCAAGATAACGGCCGGTGTTCCGCTTCCGGTGTTGGGGGTAGGAGCGGCGAGCGGCGTTGGCGGCGACTGCGGCGCTTACCTTGGTCGGAGCGAGTTTGGCGGACGGCAGGAAAGCGGCGAAACTGCCCTCGAGCGTGTCGGGGTTTCCGCAAATGGCGTGCGACGTATCGCAGTAGTAGGAACACTTCCCGTGGAAGCAGAGGTTATCGCTGGGCGATACGAAGAACGTGTTCAGCAGGTCGCCCTCCGCTTTCTGGTATATGTCACTCGTTATATTGACGACCCGGCCCGTGACCGGCATCGCCCGCCTGAAACCCAGCAACCTGAAAATATTTTTGCTTTAAATATTGTAAAATTAATACGATTTTTCAATTTTCAATCCAAATGTCGCTTGATTTTTAAATTACAACAGTGTATTAAATCTTAATATCGATTACTGGATAGTTTTCTATAAATAAATGTTAAATTTAGAAAACATTAAATAAAATATAAATAATAGATGCTGTGACGGGCATTCGGCGCCCATGTTGGTTGCAAGTTTATTACACTAACTCTAGCTTCCCGTGAAATCATCGTATCTGTTTTTATAGTATATTATACATAGCTACTAAAGATACAGAGACCGATAATACAGGAAATGTTTTGAGAAAGTTCGTTCAATGTGCGCATGCACGAGATTTTAAATCTCGTTTTTAACCAATGACTATGCGGCATTCAACAAACAACATGGCTGCTGACAGGCCGTCTCTACGAAAATACCATAGCTGTCTGCGACGGGTCAATTTTTACCGTAGTAGTTCGATTAAATTATTAAATAATAGCTACATGGTATATTACCTTGAACCAAATAGCCAGGGCCCGGCCTATTCTGATAATATAGAAATTTTTGAAGCGACGATGAAAAGAATATTCAGATGGGCCAATTAACGGCCGCTGACAGTTCGTCAATTCGACAAGGTTTAGTTTAGATGTAACATTTTTTTCGGCAGTAATTGCCCAAAATATGCTCAATCTAGTTAAATGTTCCGGGAAAATGAGTTAGTTATATGAAGATCGCTGTTCGGAGAGAAAATGGCGCAAAGTGTAGGAGTGAAATTTAGAGGCATGTGCGCAAGACCATTCCCATGAACGATAATATCAAAGCCACCCCGAGGCACATCAATTTTTGCTGAATTAGCTATGTCGCCCATCCAAATAATAGCTATATCCATTAAATTGAACCGGTTACCGCTAATTTGGACATTCAACTTTCTTACGGGAATTTACATGTGAATACAGGCGAAATTAGGTCAGAACCCTTACCGCGTATCTACTAACATTCCAAGATTCGTCCAAGAATATTCGGACCATGTGAAAGGAATTTTGAAAATAATGGGAACAAAATAAAATGAATTCCTTGATACTTTTGTTGGGGTATTGCTAAGCCCCCATAAATGTTTGCAACTGATTCACTAGGCGTTTTAATTTGTAAACAGAACGAATATTTTGTTATCGCGATTAGATTAACAGACTGCGTAAAATAAGTAAGCGCTTTTCTTTCTTTATTTTTTTTTTGATTAATTACGTCAATTAGTTTAATGAATTTGCCGCATCGAGTTGCGAAACACGAGTAGGCCGCCTCCCCTCCCGCTCTATCGTTAATTGTCGTTTCTTTTTCCCGACATTTCGTCGTTTGTAAACGATTACTGCCGCGAGCCACCTATACACGCAAATGCCCTTTTAATTACCGCGACACGTCCGCCGCGCAATCCAGATAATTCGGCCGAATCATTTTAAAAATGATTAAAAATCGTTTAAAACGCTTTCGTCGTTACCGCGCGACGAAATGGTATTTCGTGTACGCGTAGTGGTTACATTTAAATGCTTTTTATGAAGGCGATAAATATTAGCGCGCAGCGCACTTGTTTCAGGTTTCATATGCGCGCGTGAAAATGAACACTTAAAGCTTATTTATTATTTATTTAGTGGTTTATTACATCTAATTAATAAAACATGATTGAATTTTTTTCCAACATTTAAACTTTTAATCTATAATGGTACACGAAGTGCTAGAAGATCATTTTAATTTCGTTCGTTTTGCCTGTGTAGATTTAGACTAACCAGAAATAATATTCGTTGCGAAAGCTTGGTAAATGAGACAATTAATTTAATATGTATTATTACCTTGTTTGATAATTTTCCGAGTGTGGTATGGACGAGGGTCACACTTCTTTTGGGCGTGGTAACACCAGAGTAACGCCCAAAAGAGGTGTAGTGACCAGTACCGGAAATAGACAACGGCCCCGCTCAGAGGGACCAACATAGAGGGCAGACTATTCGATGGCCACTTCCACTGCCCCATTCAATTATGTTACTTTAGTCACACCATGTATATTGCATTCGTGTGAAGAAATTAATCAACCCAGGATCGCGACGATGACAGCTATCTAAACATCGAAAGCATCTATGACAACGATGATGATAACAATTCCAACAATGACGACGATAATATTGCGGATAACGAGTATGATGTGCCGCATGTTTCGCCCTTATTAAAAAAGCTAGTGTATTGCGGCTTTGGTGACCCTACTTTTTCATAAAATGAAAGGTGGCACAAACAGAAATGTTATAGTTACCTTGGATTGTATATGAATTGTATATAACTTAATGCATAAACTTATCGAAATGGCGAAAACTGGGCTGGATAATTTTTTTTACGTAGGATCCAGTGGCGTAGAACACTTTTCTTTCGAAACCCACAGCTTTTCAAAAATATATAACACATACGAAATGATAAATCCTATTATATATAATTTCTCATAATTGTCATATCTTGGTTTAACATGAGCCGTATTGAAAGGAAGAGGAGACAAATTAAAATAAACACAAATTTAGTTTGTATATCAACGTTTGTGAGTTTCAGAAGAAAACTGAATCCAGTCCGGTTTTTAACTTTTCAACTACGAAGGGCGTCTCGATACGCAACAATTTCAAAATCACTCTTTCTTTAACTAAAAATCCAAGATAGCAGCGACATTTTTGTGGATGCCATTTTTGATTAATATATTTATTTATAATAAGGGAGATGCGCCGTAAAACGGTCAAAAATGGAACACACTGTACAACGACAATGACTGCGTCAACGGATTTTCGGGCATCGTAGTGCCGCCTCTAAAATTCCGGGATAAGACATCCGACCTTATCCCGGGAAAGATCGGGAACGCAATTTTCGTAGTAAATTACGAGTCGAGCATAGGATTCCGGAACAAGCCACCGAAACGCTTCGGCTTGCCCGGAGTCGGGTATTACGTTGGCGTTTAAATTTACCTCCGACGCGACGGCGGCATAGGCCACCTTGGCTTTACGTACCTTGTGTACAGATTTATTGTTTAATTGACTCGTGCTTTTCCTCAAAAAAATTAGAAATGTTTCGATAAAAAAATGTCACAGGAGCCCGTTTAACTTTAATTGCGATATCGCGTTACTACTTAGCGTCAATTGAAAACTTACGGTGGCGTATACTGCGCTCCGATGGCAGACGAAAAGTAAATTGAGGCTGGCCCTTTGTGTTTGGCGGGATCTTAACGTCCGGGCGTCATTTTGTTTTTGATTAAATTTCGCTGCGCAATAATTTACGATTCCGTTTTGCAGGGAATCTACGTTTCGGCAGGTACAACAATGCTCGTTGAATAATTGACGACGCAATATTCCTTTTGTGTATGAAATTCGACGTCCGCTCTCGGGGGAGAGCAAAAAACTTTCACGAAAAATTAAATAAAACATAAGAAATAAAAAAAAATCAACCAACAGTAAGAAAACAAATCTCAAAAAATGCGAAGAACCATAAACTTATCAACCTAATAGGTCACGTATTAAAAGCGTTTTTGAAAGTAATTCAGATAAGAATTTACCACAGAACCACAGAGAACTCGGGTGAAAAACAGTTTGGTTTCAAAAACGGTTTGGGGCCCACTACCGTATTCAAATGTTAGTACAAAAATGCTACGATCAACGAAACAATGTGTTCATTTGCTTCATCGACTACCAAAATGCTTTTGACATGACCAGCTAATACCAATGCTGAAGGAAATTGGCATCGTTACTGGGAAAATGTAGAAAGGAATAAAAATACACGTATATGGCCTTACTATGAATATAAATAAAACCAAACTATAACGGTCATTAACCCACAAGCTCATGAAAAAGTTCAACTTTCCATCGACAATCAACAGATCGAAAGATTAATTAAGTATAAACATCTAGGTGTCCAGGGTTACTATAGGGATCAGAAACGTGGTCCCTCAATATGTGTCTTAATAGAATTGCAGCATTGGAGGTGTAGCATATGCAGATGAGCATGTAGCATATGAAATGATACGAATACTGAGACAACTACTAGATACAGCCATTCTGCTATCTAGAACACATATCAGGCGGCCCCAGATACTATACTTATTGGAAAGATAGACAGCAAAAAAGGCCCCTAAAAAAGCAGCATTCTTATCTTCGGAATATAAATAAGGGACTGGTGTAACAGACAACATGTAGCGAGCCAGCTACCCTGTTTAGGAGTGTAGGCGATGATATGCTACTTAATCACCTTTAATAATCGTATGTAAGTGTTTTCAAGAATAAATTTTCTCATTTTTACATGTCCCATAAGAAAATTTATGGTTCATATTAGCGGAAACTAGTCCGCTCAAGGCCATTCGATCCACCACTCCTCTTAGCACCAACCTACCTACCTACCTACCTACCCTCACCCTCTCCCTCAACTCTCTAGCAACCACTCAACCCATCATTACATTTAGTCACGTGACTCATCTTTTTTTTTTTTCGCGTCTATCGGGGTTCGAAGCCGAGAACCGTGCGCTGTTGAACGCTGACTTTAACGCTGAGGAAGGAAGCATATTAAAAGAAATAGATAAGAAATAAATAACTTTAATGGCGGGTGAGAATCTGCATTCGGAGAACGCAAAGTCAATAAATAGTAATATCTACATAACCTCAAACCTTAGCGTACAATACACACTACCTAGGCGTATGGCAATAGACGAAGAAAAAGAAATGTACAGGGTAACCGTTATATTTACAGGGTGTTTTTTATTTTCGTAGACAATGCAATCAAATTTAAAGAAAGTCTTTTTTAATGCTACATATCATAAAATAAAATGAGTTGATTCTATTAAAAAAATGTAACGATTTTTTCATTTAAATTTTTAATATAAGTTTTTGATCATCCTGTACTTACTTATTTTTAAAATATCAACACACACCACTTCTATAAAGACACCAACCCCAAATATATAACATGGTTTTTCAGTCGGAAAAATCGATAGGTATA